GTCCTACTGACACTCACCTCTCTACTGCTGAGAAAGCAACTCCTGACTTTCTTCTCAATCCAGTCCTTCCAGAAGGGCCCCCTGCACAGCTGCTTGTGCCCTGGTGTTCTTGCATGCTAATCACTTTGCCTGCATTTCCTCCTTCACACACATGCACTGAGTTGTTTATTGTGAGCTGAACTGTGACTGAAGGCTCTTACTGTCAACTAGCAGGAAAGGTGCATTTTGATGGAGGTTGTTGTTGCTAAGTGCCATCTAGTCTGTTCTGAACCATAGCAACCCTGTATAGGGTTTCTGAGGAGCAGCTGGTGAGCCTGAACCACCAAGGTAGGCAGTTCGAACCTACCTTGCAGTCCAGCACATTATCCACCGCGCCACAGGCCTACATTATTGAGCCCTGGTGGTGCAGTGGTCAAGTGTTCAGCTGCTAACCCAAAGGTCAGAGACCTAACAATTGTTCCATGAGACAAAAACATGGCAGTCTGCTTCCATAAAGATTTACAGCTTTGGAAACCCTATGGGCAGTTCTACTCTGTCCTAAAGAGTCACTATGACAGAATCCACTAGAAGGCAATGAGTTTGGGCCATCATTGCTACCAGAGATCACAGACCCTGGTTGGAAATCAGGGTGATAAGTCTCAGGAAGCAGGGGTGGGTTACGAACCAAAAAAAAAAAAAACAACAGAAAAAACAACAGGCCTGAACAAGAGGCTCCCTGAAGAACACCTCTGATTTCCTAACGTTGCCTTTACGCTAGTCTTGAGCTAAAACGTGACCCATGCAGAGGCCAGAGGTCTGTGCCAGCCATAAAAGGCTCCAGGGGCTTGTGGATGTTTCCAACAACTTTGAACTTGGTCATTCACCCTCCCCACCCTGAATTACTTCTTTTAATTTCAAGGTCTATTCCCAACTCAAGTTCCCAAACTGATGAGTAAAAGACATTGGTTTTGAGATAAGGAGTAAGGGAGGAGTTGAGGGTGAAAGAGGGTGAGGCCATTATCCCCAGGGCCAAGGTGGAGACAGAACCAGAAAGCAGAATGTTGTGTGGAACCTTAGTAACCTCCAAACCATTCCCGGGCAGAGTCCAGAAGCTAAGGGAGGAAGAAGGCCTGCCCAATTTGTTTCTGGAGTTGACCCTTCAGCCCAGCTGTTCTCTGCTATAACATAAACTGCCAGTTCAGCAGTGTGGAATGCCAGGGGCAGAAGAACCAAGGTACAGATGAGGCTGGTGTTTACCCTAGTTATGTGTTTGCTTGAACACACACTTACATAGTAGACATGCCAGACATGCTCTGAGCACGTCAAAAACACTAACCCATTCGATCTTCACATATCTCTAAGAAGTTGGTGCTATTATTATGCCAATTTCATTGGTAAATAAACTGAGGCTCAGAGTAGAGTCACTTGCCCAACACTGCACAGCTAATGGGGGATGGAGCTGGGATTCAGCTGGAGTGAGCTGGTTCCCAAATCAGGCCTATTGCTGAATACAGGATTGTGTCTGTCCTCAAAGACTGTGTGTTTGTCTTCAGGGTTCCTATCCAGCAAACCGCTATCAGAACTACCTGCTTTCCCTTAGGAATGGTTACTACAGTGCACAGAGGAGGGCAGAAGGCATTTCTCCAGCCCCCTGGTCTCTGGGAATAACTCCAGTACCAGTCCTGGAATAGACTGGGAGAGAGAAGGCAGGGAAAGACTAGTGGGTATGTCAGTGGTCACAGAACTACACAGAGTTTTCGTAATCCTTGTCCCTGTTCTGTCCTCTGAGCCTGTGGGCTTCTACCCTGGTTGCCTTTGTTACCTAGTGCTGTTCTGACAGAAATACCACACGGCAACAGAAATGGATTTTCCCATAGTTTAGGAGATTGGTGGTGGTGGTGGTGGTGATGTGCCGTGGAGTCAGTTCCAACTCATAGCGACCCTGTACAGGGTTTCCAAGGCTGTAAGTCTTTACGGGAGCAGAAAGCCTCATCTTTCTTCTGCGGAACACCTGGTAGTTTTGAACTGCTGACCTTAAGGTTCGCAGCCCAATTCGTAACCACTACGCTACCAGAGCTCCTTAGGAGATTGGTGGTAGTGGTGGTAATGTGTCGTGGAGTCGGTTCCGACTCATAGTGACCCTGTACAGCGTTTCCGAGGCTGCAAATCTTTACGGAAGCAGAAAGCCTCATCTTTCTCCTGCAGAACAGCTGGTCGTTACGAACTGCTGACCTTGAGGTCAGAAGCACAACTCGTAACCACTATGCTACCAGAGCTCAAGGGCACAGGGGCAATTCTGCCTACTCCTGGGTGATCTTCATGTGGCTGGGCATCTCTCTTCCCTCTACCCCTGCACATTCGCTTGCTTGTTTAACCTCTTTTACATCTCAAAAGAGATTGACTTAAAACACACTCTGTCTTAATACTGAAGTCCTGGTGTGGGGCTATAGGATGAGTACTGGACTGTTGTTAATCACAAGGTTGGTGGTTCGAGCTTGCCAGCTGCTCTACAGGAAAAAGATGAGGATTTTTGTTCCCGCAAAGATTTAAAGCCTTGGAAACCCCATACAAGGTCACTATGATTCAGAACCAACTCAATGGCACATAACAACCACAACAGCATCCTAATACTCTCTCATAAACAAAACCACAGGTATAACTTAAAAAACTCAAAATCACTGCCACCAAGTCCGTTCCAATTCATAGTGACACTGTGTAGGGTTTCTGAGGCTGTACATCTTTACAGGAGCAGAAAGCCTTATCTTTCTCCAGCAGAGCGGCTGGTGGGTTTGAACTGCTGAACCTTGTAGTAAGCAGTTCAGTGCTTATTTTGCAGCACCACAAGGGTTCGTAAGCACAGGTCTAAGGATTAGGATTTACAGCACATATTTTGGGGGAGACACAATTCAATCCATACCATTGGTATTCCTGAAGATGGAGTTCATGAAACCTCTTCACTCCTCCTTCTCCTTCGCCAAACTGGGCAGGCCTTCCTCCCTTGGTTTCTGGACTCTGCCCAGGGGTGGTCTGGAGGTTACCAAGGCTCCACACAACACTCTGTCTCTGGCTCCGTCCCCACCTTGGCCCTGAAGATTATGGCCTCACCTGCCTTCACCCTCAGCTCCTCCCTCATCTCCTTATCTCAAAACCGGTGTCTTTACTCATCAGGGACGGGTATGAAGGCCCCTGTACTAGGTTGAATAGTGTCCCCCCAAAATTCAGGTTTGCTTATCACCTCAGAGTGTGGCCTTATTTAGAAATAGGGTTTGGGGGGATGTGCTGAATTAAGATGAGGTCATAGTGGAGTGCAGTGACTCCATAAGATAAGCAATGAACTACATATGAGGCTTTTGTAAATACCATGGCTTGGGTCAGGTGCACTTTAATCCTCAAACTGACATCTTTGTTCTTCAACACTTTCAAGAGTTCTAGAGCAACAGATTTGCCTAATGCAATACGTCATTTGATTTCTTGGCTGCCGCTTCCATGAGTGTTGATGGTTGATCTGAGCAAAATGAAGTCTTTTGACAACTTCAGTCTTTTCTCCATTTGTATGGATGTTGTTTACTGGTTCAGGGGTGAGGGTTTTTGTCTTCTTTACATTGAGGTGCTGTGGTCTTTGATCTTCATCAGTAAGTATTTTAAGGAAGTATTTGCATCACCAGATGGGTCTGTGTATCTCTGAGAAGAATTCCTCTCTGGGATATTGCCTACCTTGAGCCCAAAGGCCTAGTGTGTTCTAGAAAGATATTTAATAAAAGCTGCTTTTGCCCTGGTGCAGTGGGTTAAACATTGGGCTGGTAACCCCAACGTTGGTGGCTGGAACCCACTAGCCACTCTGAGGGTGAAAGATGAGACTTTCTGCTCGTGTAAAGATTTAAGGTTTCAGAAACCCTTTGGAGCAGTTTTACCCAGTCCTATTGGGTCTCTGGTAGCGTAGTGGTTATGAATCGGACTGCGAACCACAAAGTCAGAAGTTTGAAACTACCAGCTCTTTCGCGGGAGAAAGATGAGGCGTTCTGCTCCCGTAAAGCCTCGGAAACCCTGTACAGGATCGCTATGAGTCGGAACCGACTTGACAACACTTAATAGCAAAAACCATCTTTCTGGAAGCTGACTGTCACATTTTCCCCCACCACTGACCTTTCAGTTAACAGTGGGGGGCTTTGACCACAGTGACACCAGGGTTCCTTAGGACATTGCCTGTTAACCAAATTTGTCTCTGGGAGCTGCAAACTCTCCTTTCTGGATCTTCTTCCCTCTTCAGTGACTGTCCCTGAATCTGCCAAATGAGGGCACCTTTAGCACTTCATTTCCTCTCGGATTCCCCAAGGTCTAGACTTCAGCTGAACAGGACTGACAGACTTCCATGGGAAGGGCACTCTTGACCACTGGCAGTGGTTGACAGCACTTTGACAGGGTGGGCTTTCCTGAGAAGCGTTATCCCAGCTCAATAAGTTAACTCTCCAGCTACAACTAAGTTCCCCCTGGGCTGCAGTGGGGTTTCTGAGACCCTAAGGAGACAAAGAACACACAATTTTCCTGAGACGGGCCAGTTTGGAGGAGAAGGAAGAGCAATCATCCACCCTGATGCAAGGGTGAAGCCTAACGTGGGTTGGGGAGCTAATAAGAAACAGCTTGCTGGAGGGAGGGGGACAGAATTCAGGCTGCTGAAGAGGGGGCTGGGACAAGCCAGCTAATTGAAACCAGCTGTTGCTCCTCTGTCTTGGAGATCTTTGGACTCTGCCCTGGACAGGCTCACACCCTATTCCCGTGACTAGAAGCCAGCAGAGTCGGTGTAGAACAGCCCGAGGCTCCTCTGGCCGCCCTGACTCTTGGGGACCTCAGAAACAAAGGACTTAAATTTGGACCCTGTCCACCAGCTGGACACTTCCTTCCCAGCCAGCTCCCACCCCTTGGCTGCTCCTGCCCAGGCAAAGCCTGGAGGAAGAGTCCAGGGAAAGAGCCCAGCCCACTCTTCCTAGACCCTCCATCCACCAGCGTCTTCATCTGGAGATCCTATGGCCCAAGCTCATTGGGGCTGCGGCCCCTGGCTTGTCCTCTTCTGTGGTATGTGCATCTCAGCCTCTCCCTCCTAGTCTGGGGGGATGGGGGGTGGGGAGGAAGGGGAGCAGGTCCACCTGTATAGCAGCTCTGGCCTCTCTCCTCTGGGCTCAGAAAGGTTGTCGCTCTTCTTGGTTTCTCTATCTTGACAAAGAGGCACCCAAGAATCATCTCCTCGGGGCCCTTGGGACTAAGATCAAGGCTGCCTCGGCATCATTCCATTCCCCCATTTCCCTGTTTGTCCTCTTTGGTCACAGCTAGGTGCCCAGCTCAGCATCTTTCACACACCCCACCATTGGCCTTAGGGAGGCCTCCCTTCCCTTTCTTTCTGTCAATGAGCTTCTGTTCATTCATGCAGCACGAAGTTCCTGCTTCTTATGTGGGTGTCTTAGTGCCACCATGATGCCAGAGATCTGTTCTTACAGATATGGCTGTTCAATTTCTTAAATCAACTGTAGGGGGGCTCATCTTCCCCCCTGAGTGTATGATACCAAGATAGTCAAGTAGAATATTCAGGATGTTAGATTCCAGTCACCTTCCTTCCCTTCGTAGTTCAACCCATTGGAAAGTCAAAGTATACGTAACATCTCCCCATACTCATTCTCCCACGACCCTCTGAAGAAACTCCTCTTAAAAGGCAGAGGGTGGGGAGGAGGGAAGGACTATCAGAGACCCGGGACTTTTGAGTAGGAAGGGCCTGCATCTAATCCAATGCTCTCTCTTTACAGTGTCTGCCACATAGTAGGCCCTCAGAAAATGTTCACTCCAGTATTGCTCACCCAATACTTGGTGCCACTTCTTGGGCCTACAGTGCCCTGGTGGTACTATGGGATAAGTATGGGGCTGCTAATCCCAAGGTCACCAGTTGAAATCCACCAGCTGCCCCATGGAAGAAAGATGAGGCTCTCTGCTTACGTGAGATTTACAATCTTGGAAATCCTGTATAGGGTCGCTATGACTCCGAATCAGCTTGATGGCAGTGAGCTTGGTTTGGTTTTCTCCTTGGGCCAGGAGTCTTGGCAGCACAGTCTTGAAACCTTATGGGGCAGTTCTCTACTGTCCATACAGTCACTATGTGTCGGAGTTTGCTCAACGGCAATGGATTTGGGTCATATCAAATTTGGAGCAGAGCCCAAATTGGAACCTAGATTTCCAAACATTCTTCTTGACATTCTTCTGTTCCTTCTATGGCAGCACCCTTCCAGGCACATCTCCTGGAGCTGGTAGAGTGGCAGGATGGGAAAATATCCCAATCCTTTGTACTCAGTTGGTCTAAGTTCAAGTTCTTATTTTACCACTGACTCACTGGGTCAGAGTCTTAGCAAGTTACCAAACCTGGGCCTCAGTTTCCTCAGTCTGGGCCTCAGTTTCCTCCTCTGTAGACAGTAGACAATAATGCCTATTGTCTAGGTGTGTGTGTGGGGGGGCGGGGGCTGCTAATCCTTGTCTTTGCTGACTAACGATGATCAGGTTAAACAGTTTCACGCAAGCAAAATATTTAAAGATTTATTGAGATGAATAAATCTTACCAGAGGAGGAGATGAGAAAGGCCCTTAGACAACACTAACACTCTCATCTCCTTGAGTCTTTGGTGGGGTCTTTAAAGGATTCTTGGGCAGAGAAGGCAGGAAAGGCTCTAATGTTTATGAATGATTCTTCTTGGGAAAGAAGTGAGGAAGTGCTGGAAGTAAGAGTTCACAATGAAGTCAGTTCCATCAGAGGTGGAATCGGCAGTGAAGGCATCTGGGAGGCACTGGCAGAACATATTATGGGGTGTCATGCATGTACTCTGTCTGGGTTCAAGTTGCTTAGCCACTCTCAGTGGACCTAACCAGAGCTGGAGATACTGCTGCTTGTTTTAAAGACTGGTCTGCAGCTGGCCACTCTCGTAAGACACCTCTAAGGAGGTGTGCTGTTGTTAGGTGCCTTGAGTCGGTTGTGACTCATAGTGACCCTATGCACAACAGAACAAAACACTGCCTAGTCCTGAACTACCCTCACAATTATTGTTACGTTTGAGTCCATTGCTTCTGCCACTGGGTCAATCCATCTTGTTGGGGCTTTTCCTCTTTTTCAAGGACCCTTCACTTTACCGAGCATGATGTCCTTCTCCAGGGTCTAGTCCCTCCTGATAGATAACACGTCCCAAGTATGAGAAACGAAGTCTCACCATCCTTCCTTTGAAGGAACACTCTAGTTGTACTTCTTCCAACACAGATTTAGATTCATTTTTTCTTCTGGAAGTCCGTGGTACTTTTAATATTCTTCAGCACCATAACTCAAATGCATCAATTCTTCTATGGTCTTCCTTATTCACTGTCCAGCTTTTGCATGCATATGAGGTTATTGAAAATACTGTGGCTTGGGTCAGACGTACCTTAGTCCTCAAACTGACATCTTTGCTCTTGAACACTTTAAAGAGGTCTTGTGTGGCAGATTTGCCTAATACATGTCATTTGATTTCTTGACTGCTGCGTCAATGAGTGTTGATAGTGGATCCAAGCAAAATGAAGTCTTTGACAACTTCAGTTGGTCTAATCAGTGCTATTTATTGGCCCAGTTGTGAGATTCTATGGTACAGTAGGATACGTACTGGACTGCTAACTACAAGTTTGTCAGTTCAAATGCATCAGCCACTCCTCAGAAACTCACGGGGTCGCTATGAGTCAGAATGGACTTAATGGCACTTGACAACAATAACAACTCACTATGTGAATGGCAGAGTTCACTTTCTGGCATAGACCATAGACCAAAAATCTACCTGATCCTGCATCGTCCCCGTGGTTGCATATCTGATTGCTGTGATCCATACAGGTTTTTTTGGCTGATTTTCAAAAGTAGATTGTCAATCCTTTTTTCCTTCTGTTTCAGTCTGGAAGCTTCTGAAATCTGTTCAGCATCACAGAAACACACACACCTCCACTGATAAGCAGGGGGTGGCTATGCACCAGGTGTACTGGGGAGGTTTCAAACCCGGGTCTTCCACATGGAAGGAAAACTGAACAAAACGAAACCTTTGCTGTAATCATTGTGACTCAGCTCCAAGTGCTAATCTACTTTTCTCCACAAAGCACCGACGTCACACTGGAATAATTTGTTTTATATGTTTAAATGATCCTGGAATGAATGGCTGAGCTTTGGATTGTAAGAAATGGTACAAGTGGGTCTTGAATTTAAGTAAAGCCAATATATACAAAGTTTGAATTAAGAAAGGCTAAAAAGAAGGTGGGAGTGATGATTTAGTGAGAGCCTCTAGAGCATCTCAGAGAAAATTTGATTACCAAAATTTCATTTACACACAATTTTTCCAGTTCGGTAGACCCTGAAAAGACCCAATTAGATTAGAAGGAAAAAATTGATTTAATGGGCACCACTAAAACCCATCCAAAAGTGGCAATGACTAGTCGATGAAGCAGGTTTCTTCGATTGTGACCCAGCGTGCCATCCAATTCAGCCTCATTTCCTATGAAATGTGATTATTTTTATCCTCAAGAGGAGTTGGGTAGCCTCACATACATTTGGAAGGTTGGAGGCCAGAGGACAAGGAGGACCTGTTGGGGAGGGGTGGCGGTGCAAGCTATGTTAAGTGTTAGCTGGGCTCCAAGTGACCCTGGATTTTTCTCTCTGCTTCTAGCTTATGCCTGGGGCCACCCAAAGCCAGAAGACCTTGGAAGGGAGGACGTGAGAAATTGTTCTATCAGCCCACCGGTGAGGCCCTGGCTATTCCCCGCCCCACCCAGCGGTGTCCTCCCCATCCCCCATTGCTAACCTCTTGCTTGCTCACCTTTCCCGGGGATTTCCGCAGTTGTTGAATAACACCCCTCAGGGTAGCGCACCTTCTCAGGTATCTAACATCCTCTCCAACTCCCCGCCCTTTCACACACCCATCATCCTTGCCCTGACACTCATTACCAGGGCTTGGGGAGGAAGGAAGGGGCAGGGAGGAGGGAAGTAGGGGGAAGGATGGGGAGACGCTGAAGGGGAGGGGAGACCGGTTAGCTGGCCTTGTGGTGTTTAGGGTAAACACTGGACCATACGGTTGGTTTGAACCATAAGGTCGGCTCCTCGGAAACCCTATACAGGGTGACTCTGAGTGGGAACCAACTTGATAGCACTTAACACCACCACCAACAACAGTCTTTTATGGAAGCAAATTCAGCAGGTCTACGTGGGTTCCAATGGCTAACTTTTGGGTTAGCAGCCAAGCGCTTAATCGTTTGCATCACCAGGATTCCTTTCCCAAACCAGAATAGGGCTAAAGCTCTCCAGGCTGGGGTGGTGAGCATGCCCCTGACACCCTAAAACTTCGGGATGAAAGTGGTACATCTGCTTTCCAGGTCAGCTTTATGAGACAGGCAGGTGGATGGGCCAACCACATTGTCTTTATATATGAAAAAATGATTATACAATATGGTTCCCAAAAGTTGCTAGAAAAAATGGAATTAAAACATAATGGCATTTTTCCACGATCTTTTTGAAGCCCCCTTTTGTACTTGAGTCCTGGTGTGGCGCCATAGGATAAGCACTCGACTTCAAGGTCAGTTTGAACCACAAGGCTGGTAGTTCAAACTCATCATCTGCTCTTCGGAAACCCTATAGAGGGTCACTATGAGTCGGAACTGACTTGACAGTACACAACAACAACAACAATTGTAGAGTAGAAGGCAAAAGGAAGCAAAAACAAAACAAGGCAGGGGTTTCCGAGGAGTGGCTGGTGAGTTTGAACCATCGACCTTGTGGTTGGCAATCCAGTGTTATCTGACAGCACCACATCAGGAGTCCTCTAAAGATAATTGTTGTTGTTGTTGTTGTTGTTAGGTGCCATCGAGTCGGTACCAACTCATAGTGACCTTATACAGCCTGCAAAAAAAAAGTCTGGCTTAGGATCTTTTCGGACAGTGTCCCAAACTGTTAGATGTACTTGTTTGCTCTCCCCTGCTATTTGGGACCGGTAGGTGGAAAATTGGAAAAGCCCTCAAGGTACATTTGTTAGATAAGATCCAGGACATCCCATTACATTTGCATTTCAGATAAGCCATGGAAAATGTTTAGAAATTCAGATAAATAATGAAGGATGTTTTTGATTCAGTGTGACCCTAATGTTGCATGAATCGTACTTACAACACTGAAACATTTTTTGTTCTTTAACTGGAATTCACATGTTATTGGGGACGTCCCTTATTTTTATTTGCTAGATCTGCCAACCCGATTCCAAGGTATCGAAAGAGAAACTTCAGCCCTAGTCTGCCCCAGTGCACGAGTTCAGATCCCTGCAGCTGTCTCTTGCATTCCAGACCCAAGGGCCTAATACTGCACAAAGGGTCATCTCCCAGTTTGTCCACACCTCTGCCCAGCCCAAAAACCTTCCCACTCCACACTGTCATGGATTCTGCCTCACAGTGACCCTGTAGGACAGAGTTGAACTGATGGTGGTGGTGGTGATGTGCCGTGGAGTCGGTTCCGACTCATAACGACCCTGTACAGGGTTTCCGAGGCTATAAATCTTTACAGGATCTGCTTGTAGTTTTGAACTGCTGACGCTGAGGTTAGCAGCCCAATTCGTAACCACTACACAACTGCTAAGAGACTGTAAATCTTTACAGAAGCAGATTGCCTCATCCTTCTCCCACGGAGAAGTTGGTGGGTTCAAACCACCAACCTTGCAATTAGCAGCCCAATGTTTAACACACTGCACTGGGGATGATAAACTCTCACTCACTGCCATCGAGTGGACTCCAACTCAGAGGCAGAGAACTGCCTTATAGGGTTCCCAAGGCTGGAAATCTTTACAGAAGCTGACTGACACATCTTTTGTGTGGAGTGAGAACCTCGGACCCTTTGCTTAGCAGCCAAGTGATTCAACCGCTGTATCACCACCAGCTGTCCCTCGTCTCCTCCCCTTACCCCTCAGTCGGACTGGCTTATCCACCTGCACCCTACCTGCTGCCTTAGGAAAGGTGGGGACCCAGGAGTCATTTTCCTTAAGCCACATGTGTGTCTCTATGTGTGCCATGGTGTCTTCCTGTCATCTGTCAGTACCTCCCGGTGACGGCAGTCAACACCACAGCTCGGCTGGCAGCACTCCGGCAGCAGATGCAGGCCCAGAATCTCGCTGCCTACATCGTTCCAGACACGGATGCCCACATGGTGAGGGACAGTACCTCTCCCCCTGGCCCCCCCTGCTGCCCCAGCTTGGCCTATGAAAACAGGCCACCAACAGGAGGCTCTTCAGGCATTGAAGATGAAGGCAGAGACAGGGTCTGGTAGATCAAGGGAAGGGAATGAAATGGGGAGCTTCGACATGGCAATTTGAGGGCAACTGAAAGCAAGTTTTCTTTTACATGAAGGGCAATGGTTTATTGCCAAATCTTCTTACCTTAAGAAAGGAAATTATAAATAACTTCAGAATCCATTTGCATCAATTGCTAGATGGCAGACAGATATAGAAGGAATATTTGGGCATTTCCTGCCCTAGAGTGTTAGAATTTGAGCCTGCTCTCTAAACTCTGAGAACTCTAAGAGCCTTCCAGCCCAGGCCTTCCTGTGACTTGCTTTGACAAGGGTTCAAGGGACAGCTTGGATGGGCTGGGTCCTAGACTATGTGAACTTGAAGGTATAGGCTAATTGGGGGGGTGGGGCAGACTGGAAACAATGGGGGCCTGAACAAAAGCACTTTTCCCAAAGCAGCCACCCTACCTATACAGCCCACTCTTTCCCACCGCTGGTTCTAACTCCACCCTGCCCACCATCCCAACAACACCGGCCCAAGTAGAAGAGAAAGTATTTTCAGGTTCGGTCAGACTGCTTGAATTCATCTTTACACCTGCTGGGAAGGGTTAAGAACCTTGGCTAAGTGTCTGAATCTCTCTGAGCCTCAGTTTCTTCTTTAGCAAAATGGGAAAAATGAAATCTGTCTCCAAGGGTTATGGAGGTTAAAAGGTGACAATATAAAAAGGACACCTCTGCAGACATTATTTCTGATGTACCCAGTATACTGGAATAGACTGGGGATGGGGCAGGACAGCTGGAGGGGAGAACCCCAAAGAGCTAAAAGACATGAACTCAGAATGCACAGACATTGCTTGCTGGCTAGGGAGCCAAGACTTTATCTTTTTGGGGTCATAGACATTATCCTTTAATGGTATGCAAAGCACACTTCTTTTTGTAATTTACGTACCACAAAAACTTTTGTGAGCTAAGACTTCTTTATGGAACAGTCCAGTGTAGCATTGAGTTCAGTGCTGGACTGTGATTTAAACTGTTAAGAGACACAGTTCAAAGAAAGGGAAGATACTGAGAGTCAGATACAGAAGGCTTCCTGAAAAAGGTACCAAGTATGCTTGAATTTGTAGACTGGTTGGATCTGATCAGACAGAAAGAACTGGAATGTGGCTGGGGGTTTCCACATAGAAATTAACTCCATGAGAAAGACTAATGATGATGTTGTTGATTTCCTAGAGCGAGTACATCAGCAAATTTGACGACAGACGTGCATGGATGACAGGCTTCACAGGGTCTGCAGGTGACCGTCACTACCCAGCCCTATTGTTTCTGTTCGTAAAACCAGAGGCCATGACACAACTGGGTCTTAGTAGCCCAGACCTTAAGACCTAGTGTCCAGAGGCCCCAGCTACTCTCTCTTGGCCTCCCTTCCACTGCCCCAAACAGGCTAACCAGGGCAGGTACCCCTTCAGGCCACATTTCTTTTCTTTTCTTTCAAAACTTTTTATTGTGAATTAAGTGAAGGTTTACAGAGCACATCATCAGTTTTACAGCCAACAAATCACACACTTTGTTTCCTCTCGATGATTGTAGTCCCCTCCATGCAACAGCAGTCATCCCACTCCCTCCCTGTACTTCTTGTTTCCATCCCAACCCCTCTGAACCTTGACCCCAGATACATGTTGCCCTTTTGATCTTGAATGGTTGACCGTTCCATGGTGAGCAGACCTCACCAGTGTTGTTGTCCTCCATACATACCTATCCACTGATTAACTGAAAATTGAGCAACAAGGGTGAATTCCGTTCCAGACCTGAAAGGTGGTTGAAGGCCATAGTCTTGGGTTCCTCCAGTCTCTTTCTGACCAGTAAGCCCAGTCTATTTTGCAATTTTGAGTTTTGTTCCATGTTGTCTCCCACTCTATCCAGGACCTTCTAATGTTGATCCCTTTCAGAGCAGAGCAGTTGATTGTGGTAGCTGGATACCACCTCGTTTTTCTGGTCTCAGGATCATGAAGACTGATGTTCATGTGTTCCATTAGTCCATTGAACTAATTGATTCCAAGGGTCTTCAATGTTCAATGCTCTTTCTTCCCCACAGGAAGAGACCAATACTTGCACCTTAGATAGCCACTCATGATCTTTTAAGATCCCAGTCACTACTCACCAAAGAAGGATGTAGAATATTGTCTAATATTATGGAAATTGGCCATGGTGTCCTCCAAGACTATGGTCTAGGCCACATTTCTGCATGAAGCAGATGGTCGTGTTGGCCTTCTTCTGGTGCTCACTGACTTCCTCTATCACAGCCAAGCCCAATCTAGCACTCCCTGAGCTCCATTTCTGGGACAGTTACTACTTCCACATCTCCTCATTAAGGGCCCACTGAGTCTCTTGACATGACGACTCACTTGGGGACCAAGTTTTACTTGGCTAGTCCTTTTACAAGTGACATCATTTCACGTGGCCAAAGAAGACACAAACATAGATTTCAGTTTCTAAAGGGACCTTTCACTCTAATTCTGATGCTCTCAAGGGCCCCTTTTTGGTCCTCAAACACTTTGTCCATCTACTTTGTCCATCATGGACCCTTCATCTCCTAATCAAAGTTGCTAGGTTCGGTTCTCTACCTGTCCTCAACGAAGCCTCTGACTCAGTGGCCCAATCAGCCGTTGAGTCTTGACACTGAGTGCCATTTTTCCTGAGAGCACCTACACGTGGCATTGGCTTTTTCAGAATGGCAAAAGTAGGTCTGATTTCTTTTCCTGCTAAAAGTGCTAATGATCCCCTCCAGGAGATGCCTGTCTCAGACCATTCTGCCCACGTCCCCCAACGTGCTCCCTCCCTCACATCTCGACCTCATTTCCTTCCAGTGGAGGGGCATGGAACTCTTTCATGACATTCAGGGCCAGAGCTGTGTCACACACTCACTAACTAGAGCCACAGCTTTCTACCTTCCCCCTCATCCCCAAGCTTCTTTGTTCTGCCCCAGGAGTTGCAGTGGTGAGCCTGTCCAAAGCAGCTATCTGGACCGACAGTCGCTACTGGACTCAGGCTGAGAGGCAGATGGACTGCAACTGGGAGCTCCATAAGGAAGGTAGAGGACCCACACAAGCCCTGGGACCTGGACTAGGTTCCAGAGGGTTGAGGTGAGGTGTGTGTGCAAGACCACATGGAAAACTCAGGACACGTGAGGCTGTCCAGGAGGACGTACACAGCCAGAGCATCACAGACAGATGAGTGGCTAGAGGGCCCGAGGCTGCCCCGGAAGTGACACCTCTGAGTTCTTTCCTGTTTTTCTCACAGTTGGCACCAATCCCATTGTCACCTGGCTCCTCACTGAGATTCCGGAGAGTGGTCGTGTGGGCTTCGACCCCTTTCTCTTCTCTGTAGGTATGTTCTTTCCTCAGTCCCTGGTAACTTGGGAGCAAAGAAACAGATATTAGTGGAAAGAGAGGCAGTGTGACCATCAGGATGATGTGTGTGACGTTGTGGTTTTAGAAGATTTTGCAACAAGAATGTATTCATGAATTGAGTCATTAAAATACAGTTTAGAAAATGAGTACAATGTTTATGTCTTAAGTTCAGAGACTCAACCTACAAGAATCAGGGAATCCTTATGACTTTGCAGGTGAACAACAGGTCAGGATTTCTTTGAGTTCAGAACTACCCTCCAGACCTTGGAAACCTACCAGTCATGGTCCTTGAGTCACTTGGTAACCTTCTGGAAGGCAGGTTAGAAGAAGCCAAGGAGTTGGGAGAGATTCTAAGTAGAGAAACGCAGCCCTTTAATGCATTTAGCACCCCCAGACTCTGGGTACACAGCCCAGTGGCCAACTCTTGACCTCCAAGGTGAAGTCCTCATGAATATGTACTGAAAGGATCCTACTTTAGAACTGGTTTCTTTGCCAGCCTAGGCAATGACCTGAACATCACGTTGAAGCCCTGTTAGAACGGTTAAAAGCCAAGCTTGACCAATTGGCTGTGGACAGCATGGGGATGGGTTCAGGGCAATCAAACTTTGTAAGCAGAAAGAGAGTAGACTGAGCAGGATCGGGGCTGCTGGGCTGTCAGACAGGACTAACTGCCTGATTCACACTTTTCCCTGAGATTTAAATGTACAAAACACAAATGATTCCTTCCTGTGTCTGCAGGTACCTGGGAGAGTTATGAGCTGGCCCTCCAAGGTTCCAACAGAAATCTAGTGTCCATCACAAACAACCTTGTCGACCTGGTATGGGGGGCAGAAAGGCCTCCTGTTCCAAACCAGCCGATTTATGCTCTGCAGGAGGCGTTCACAGGTAGCTCCATTCTCCTTTCCAACACGTAGTAACGCAAATCCCTCATGCTTCTCCTTGGACTGGAAACTTCTTTGTAGAAACTTCTTTGTAGGAACAATGGCCCTCCAGCCTTAGTGTGCACCAGAATTACTGGGATATTTGCTTAAAGTACACATTTCTGGGTCTTGGCACTGTAGGATAAGCACCAGACTACTAACCAGTAAGATCAGCAGTTCAAACCCACTATCTTCTCTGTGGGAGAAAGATCAGACTTTCTGCTCTTGTCAAGATGTATAGCCTTGTTGTTGTTAAGTGCCGTCGAGTTGATTCCAACCCATAGCGACCCCGTATAGGGTTTTCCAAGGAGCAGCTGGTGAGCTTGAACTGCCAACCTTGCAGTTCAAACGACTTTGCAGTCTGGCACATTAACCCACAGCGCCACACCAAGACTCCTGTATATCCTTGGAAACTCCGTATAGGGTCAGTTGGAGTCAGAAGCGACTCAATGGCAGTGTGTTGGGTTTGGTTTCATTTTCAGAGAATGTGGCTTAAAAGGTCCTCAATCTATATTTAGAAAAAAGGCTGGGATAAAGAGTGCTGGAATCTGAAGTGATAGGAACCAGGAAGGGAGAAAAGAGGGGAGTTAAAGAGAGATGAGAAAAAAAAAAAATCCCTTTGAAGAGAGAAGAGACATGAATTGGTCTTTTGGTAATGGAAACTGGTTTGTCATGAACCACTCCAATCTTTACATCTGGTGCCTTCTGTGACAAGGAATTCAGATTTGTGAGATGACCGAGGTCGGGTGGACCAGGGGTGAACAGAGGGAATAGGTGAACTAACTTCAGGTCAGGTCCAAAGGGCAGTCTGTGTTACTAATTCAGGTTCAGATTTTTACTAACAACAAAGGAAAGTTAATAGATGCAGAAAACTATCTTAACGTCAACAACCTTGACCTCACCGGCACCATATCAATATATCATAAAAGAAAGAACATTCTGCCTCCCTTTAAAAAAAAAAAAAAAATTTTTTTTTATTGTGAATTAGGTGAGATTTACAAAGTAGATCAGTTTTCTACTAAACTACTCAACAATTCATATACATTTTGTTTGATTGCAATCCCTGCAAAGTTACAGCACATACTCCACTCCTCTTTGTGTTTCCTGCTTCCATTCTTCCTTCTTTCTCAACCTTTCTAAATTGTGACCTTGGGTGATCACCACCCTTTTGATCTCAAATGGGTGCTTATTCTAAGGTGTGTGTACCTCCCAAGTGTTGTTGCTCCCCTTCTAGATCTGTCTATTATTTGGCTGAAAACTCAGCCCTTTTCAGATCTGAAGGGTGACTAAGGGCCATACTCTTGGGACTGCTCTGTGGTTCCTGTAAGTAGTAATGAAAGTCTTGACAGACAGGCTACTGATTTTGAATCAGTGTCTTGGGCTCCACCACCTCTACCTCCTTGGGAATTCTAAACAAAGTCAGTGAACTTGGATTCCCAGTACTATCATTGAGCAATCTAAGAGGCTTCTTTCCACATGTGGGTTCCATGTACAAGTCTTGTCTGAAAAGGAGTCCAAAGGCAGGAGGGATGTTTCAAAATAGCAGGTTATGATGAAACACATGAAAATGTCATTATCTGCTCTGATGTAACTTGCAAAATCATTCTTTCTGCATCTTGCTAGTGTTTAAAGAAACTTGCTATCGAAGACTGCTTAATCATACACACAAAACCTCATCTCATTCATTCAGATAAAAAAGTCACAGTTATGCTGTGAAGTGGAAGGAATAAAAGGGAAAAGGCTTCCAGTGGCTGGGAGAGAATTAACATGGGTTTTGTCACTTCAGCAATCACAGGCTGCTAATCTTCAAGGAAAAGCCCTCTGGAGCCAGAATTGGGTTCGGAAGTCCAGAACAGAGTTCAGCTTAAATGAGTGCATACAGACGAGGGAGCTTTTCTATTCAGCCAGCCACTCGCAGGTTTTAAAGGGAGAAAAGGACCAAAGGAGGTACATGAAAAGTTAGTTCAAAGATACCTGTATGTATCAGGCAATTGAAATTTGCCTTCATTTGTTTGCTCAAAAATGTATCACACCCATGAAACTTGAAAGCATTATGCTAAGTGAAAGAAGCCAGACACAAAAGACCACATATTGTATGATTTCATTTATATGAAATGCCCAGAGCAGGCAGATCCAGATGGACAGAAAGGAGATGAATGGTTGTTGGGTCTTCAGGGGAGGGGGAGCGGCGAGTGACTGCTTATAGGCACATAGCTTCTTTTGGAGATGATAAAGTTCTGGAACGAGATAGTGGTGATGGTTGCACAACTTTGTGAATAGACAAAATAACCACCACTGAATTGTACAAGGAGCTCTGGTAGCGTAGTGGTTATGAGTCAGGCTGTTAATCTCATGGTTCAAAGCTACCAGCCGATCAATGGGCGAAAGATGAGGCTTTCTGCTCCTGTAAAGATTTACAGCTTCAGAAACCCTATGCAGGGCCGCTATGGGTCGGAACTGACTAGACAGCACTTGACAACAACAACAACAATTATGCCACAATTTAAAAAATGAAACAAACTCAACCAAAAGGAAATGTTTCCTACCCAAAGCTTTGGTTCTTGTTGAATAGTTTGATCTGTTTGCATAAAGTTCTTTTTAAAAACATTAAATGATCATGTATGCCAATCTATTGGGCCAACTAGGTCCCTTAGTGGGGCTAGCAGTTAAGTGCTTAACAGTTAACCAGAAGTTGGAGGTTCAAGTCTACCCAAAGGTACCTCAGAGGAAAGGCTTAGCAATCTACTTCCAAAGACTCAGCCTTTGGTAAAAACCCTATGGGTCACCGTGAGTCAGAATCCACTCCATGGAATTTTTTTGTTTTTTTTAATGGGCCCAAGTAAGACCTTTAATGTGTATGACCTCCTCCTGCTAGCCAATTCCTAGCCCTGCCTGTTGTTGTTTGTTGTTGTTAAGTGCCGTCGAGTTGATTCCGACCCATAGCGACCCTGTATAGGGTTTCCAAGGAGCAGCTGGTGAGCTTGAACCGCCGACCTTGCAGTTCAAATGGCTTTGCAGTCTGGCGCATTAACCCACAGCGCCACACCAGGACTCAAGGATAATATTGTTGTTGTTGTTAAGTGCTGTCAAGTTGAACTATTCCCTAGGGTTTCCAAGACTGTAAATCTTTACTGGAGCAGATAGCCTCAGCTTTTTCCTTGGGAGTAACTGATGGATTTGAGTCAGTGGCCTTACAGTTAGCAGTCCAATGCTTAACTCACAGTACCACCAGCTCTGCCTAGGGGCAGACTATATGCATTGCAAGGAGCCAGAATAAAGGATGAAAGTCAAAGCTCTGTAACTGGAATAGAAGCATCCCAGAAAGAACAATGCTGTAACACAGAGCTTCAGGACAGTTTTGGGAACTGACAATGTCAGTAAGAGACACATTAAGTGTGAGCTATGCAGTCAGACAGGCCTGGATAAAGAGCCCAGTTCCACTCCCTGCCATCTTTAAAACTCTAGAAAGCCATTACCTCTTGGAGCCTCTGTTTCTTATTTATAAAGTGGTACAAGGATTAAAACAAGGAACAAAAAGTGGCTTAGTAAATATTGAAGGTACTGCAGAGTAGAAGCTTAAACATGATCTCAACCCTATTCGTTTGCCCTTGAACTTGAACTGCTCTCCTGATAACTGTTCCACTAGCTTGTTTACTGATCAAAAAATTACACCAAACTTACTATATGCCCAGGGTGGCACAAATAGTTAAAAAAATTAACTATTCACTGAAAGGTTGGTGGTTCAAACCCACCTAGAGACACCTTGGAAGACAGGCCTTTAAAACCCTATCAAACAGTCCTCTTTCCCATGAGACCAGGACTTGATGGTGCCCACCTACCATTACTGAACAATTTGATCAAGGATTATATAGAAGAACAGACTTTCAAATTCTTATGGACTCCAGACTTTCTGGAACCATGGAAAGTGGATGAATCCTTGAAACAATTGCCCTGAGATCATCTTTAACCTTAAATAAAAATATCCCCTGGAATTTTCTTAAAACTAAACATTAGTTTAGCAAAACTGGTAAAGAATGTCTGCCTTAAGCGTTGTGCTCTTTTAAGGGACCAAACTGACAACAGTGACTTGAAAGGTTAGGACCTTTAGGAGGCAGTGAGTTCATGTTAATGGGAGAATAACTCACAAAAAGAGGGTAAGAATGACTGCATAAGTCTGTGTCACTAAATTGTGTCACTAAACTGTGTCACTAAATCATACAGGTAGAGACTATTGAGTTAATGTATAGATTCTGCTGTGTTTACTGTCAACGACAAAATAATTGTTGTAGTTAAGTACTGTTGAGTCAGTTCTGACCCACAGCGACCCTTATAGGGTTTCCAAGGAGCAGCTGGTGAGCTTGAACTGCCGACCTTGTGACTCAAACCGACTTCGCGGTCCAATGCTTTAACCCACAGCGCCACACATGGGGTCTTCAGGAACTGAAACCGACAAGGTGGCAATTAACAACTATATGTCCAAGATAACATTCCATGTGCTTTACAAAATATTATTTCCTTTGATCCTCATAACAACCCCATTGAGGTAAATATTATTAGAATCCATCCCCAGTGAATATATAAATCATGCTACTTCACTGTATGTGTAAAAATGGTTAAAATCATAAATTCTGTGTTAAATATATCTTTCCACAACAAGAAAATATAAGGCAGCTTCAAAAAGTTCATGGAAACTTTCCATTATCTTTTCATTCCATTTTTCTATGAACTTTTTCAAGCCCTCTCGTATACCTTAGCTAGTAAGTGCATTAAAGAAACTTGAAGGGTTAAACCAAAACCGGTCATGTTGACTGCCTCTGAGGAGAGGGGCTGGCTGACTCCAGGTCAAGGAAGAAAGATTTTTCTGTGCTCTCTTCTGTCCTGGTGTGGTGCTGTAGGATAATCACTGGAATGCAAGGTCAGTTCGAACCTCAAGGTTGATGGTTCAAACCTACCAGCTGCTCCTCAGAAACCCTACACAGAGCACTTAACAACAACAGACTCTGTACATTTAGAATTTTAACCCAGATGAACTATTAAGAAATACATAAGATTTACAAGAGAAATAAAAGTGAGACACAGAAAGACTTTAAGTTGCTTGCCCAAGGTCACTCTGCCTGGATTTGAACCAGGTCTAGCTCTAGAGTTCATGTCCTTAACAACTGCAAAAGCAAAGAGTTTGTTTGAAGAAAGGGTTCCACCGCTTTAAAACACTTTTGCCCTACGTGGGGCAGACAGTTTGAACTAGGCTGCTAACTTAAGGTTGGTGGTTTGAACCCATCCTGCAGTACTGCAGAAGAAAGGCCTGGTGATCTTCCATTAGGATTCCAGTCAAGAAAATCCTCCGGAGCAGTTCTACTCTGTAACACATGGGGTCGCCATGAGTGAGAATTGACTCGATGGCAACTAACCGAGTGACAAAGGGTGTGTCGCTGATGCATTCTTTGAGCTCTTTGACTTCTAGGGAGCACCTGGCAGGAGAAAGTCTCTGGCATCCGAAGCCAGATGCGGAAGCATCTCAAGGCCCCAACAGCAGTCCTTCTGTCGGCACTGGATGAGACAGCTTGTGAGTATGGATGAGCAGACACTCCCTGCCCCCAAGCCTTCTCGGTTCCTCATGAAACAGTCACTTAACTGTGTATTTCTAAGAGCTCCATGGCCATGGTTTGTGGGAACAAAGCAGGTTAAGAGGGCAGGAGCTAAGAGAAGCCAAGTATGCAGCATAAGGAAACCTGCGTAAGTTGTGGGGGGCCCACAGGCTCCCAAAGAATGAACTGACTGGTCATGGTGGCTAAATGCTTCTGTTTACATTAAGGGCAAGAAGACCCCCAAACACCTAACAATGTGGTCACTATCCTAAGCATTCATGCGCCCAACTTATCACTCAACATAGCCCTACTGTGCTCCAATTGGGCTCAGGGCTTCTTACCTGGCCTCCATGGCTGGACTTTGGGACTTCTGGGAATCCTCTGAGACTATATGCTGCCTGTTGGCTGGGTATTTGCCTTTCTCTGGGAGAAAGTGCCCACAGCTCTCATGACTATCTCAAAGACCCCAAAGAGACTGAAAACCACTCACAGCAGAGGATGCAGGTGTGCTTTGGGGGAATCTTCCAGGGTCGAAGCAAAGGTGCCAGAGGCACAAGCTCATGCAGATAAACCTCCAACAACCCATCAATCCTCCTCCCCAGGGCTCTTCAACCTGCGCAGCAGTGACATCTCCTACAATCCCTTCTTCTATTCCTACGCACTGCTCACAGACTCCTCCATCAGGTATGGCTCTGCATTGACTTGCAGTCACGGGCTTCCTTCAACGGATTTCTATCTTCCCACTGCCCTAGCCACTTACCTCACCCCATCAGCAACCTGGAGGCTGCCCCTAAGCTGGGTGCCTACCCCTGCATCACCCTCCAGGAAGCCTCCAATTGACTTTTCCTTACTCCTTGACTTTTGTTCCAGTTGTATACCAAGCCTGGTCAGCTTGAGTTCTTCTGACCTCTAGAACAAGGGGCCCATGCTCATCCTGGTAAGCCTTCAGCCCTTTGTGCTGCCCCTTCAGATCTTAAGGACCCTTCATGTCTTCCCTCCCCACCTAGGTTATTTGCGAACAAGAGTCGCTTCAGCCCTGACACACTGAAGTACCTGAACGCCAGTTGCACAGGTGCCATGTGTGTGCAAATCGAGGACTACAATCAAGTCCGCAATAGTGTCCAGAAATATGCCTCAGGAAATGTGAAGATCTGGATTGGAACCAGCTATACTACTTACGGGCTCTATGAAGTGATACCCAAGGTGAGTTGCCCTGATAAATCTCAACCTATGGTGGGGTCATAGGCCCTTGGCCATTCAGTCAACAGTTGTGCAATTAGGTCCCTTCTAGGGCCTGTCCCCAGGGAGAGAAAGAAAATGAGGAAGACAACATGTCTATCCAAAGAAAGTTCACAGACTGCCAAGGAAACTAGAAACAGTGCAGCCTGTCTTGAGGGAGGCTTTAGAGTCAGCCAGTCTGCCCCCGACTGGCTGGGTGATGACCGGAGACCAGTGACCCAGCCTCTCTGGGCCTCTGTTTCCTCACCTATGAAATGACAGTAAAAAATCCTACTGTAAGAGGCGTGGCTCTGAGGAGCCTGAAAAGAGACAATGTGTCATAACCTGGCACATGGTAGGCACGCAATAGATGGTGGTTGTTGATATGTACAGAAAATTTCTACTGCCGCAGACTTGGCTCTATCGCCAAAGTGCTGGTGGGATCCACTGGTAGGTAATGAGCTGCCAAACAGGGCAGTGGGAAACAAGGAAGCATTCATGAAGAACTTCCTGGAGAAGACAAGTCCCACAGAGGTTGAGGGTATTGCCACAGTTGGAAAGAGCCAGGCTCCCCTGGGCTGGGACTCCTTGCTCGTCCTTTGTAAAGATCACTGTGCTTGGGAGGATGCTCCTACACCTCCTCTTCATCACCCCACCATCCTCTCTACCCCTGGACAGGAGAAACTCGTGGCAGATAACTACTCCCCAGTGATGATGACCAAGGCGGTGAAAACCAGCAAGGAGCAGGCCCTCCTCAAGGCCAGCCATGTAAGTCCATGTGCCAACAGACAGGGCCTTGTGGAGCTCCCAGTCTGATAGATGAGCAAGGGAATTACTGCAGAGGTGCCTGAACAAGTGAAACAAAGATGTGGACACCAAATTCCTGAGCACCCACCTGCACTTCACCCTGGTACTCACATTATAGTCCAGAGATTTAGCACGTGGGCCCTAGAGCTGGAGTCTCTGAGTGAAAACCCCAGCTCCACTCACTACCTAGCTGGATGATCTTGAGTAGGTCTGTTCAACCTTTCTGCGTCTGCATGAACTCTTCTCCAAAAGGGGGCCACCACATTAATCTATAGCACAGGGTTGTAGTGAGGACATTACAGGGGCTAAGTGAGATGATTTCCTCACCCTGTCAAGAGAACGATGGCTCATGCTTTCTGCTTTTCCTGTGCAAATTGAGATTGTTGTTGCTACCTGCTGTCAAGTCAATTCCAATTCATTGAGACTCCATCTGTTTCAGAGTAGAACTGCTCCTTAAGGTTTTCAAGACTGTAATCTTTATCAAGGAGCCCTTGTGTGCCACTGTAGGATAAGGTTGTCACCGTAGTTCAAACCCACCAGCCATTCCTTGGAAACCCTCTACAGGGTCACTATGAGTTGGAATCAACTCCATGGCACATAACAACAGCAATCTTTACAGAAGCAGATCACCAGACCGGTCTTCCTTCCATGGCTTCTATGGGTGGGTTCAAATTGCCAACATTCCAGTGCATAATCAAACATTTAACCATTGAAGCCAACCAGAGATCCCTTGAAAACAATGGGATAGAAGACTTCCGGCAAGATGGTGGACTAAGCAGGTGTACTACCAGGCCCTCTACAGCAAAGATAAAAGAGACCAAATAAAACAGACACAGATGAAAATTCTGGCATGTTGAACTTCAGAAGAAAGGTTAGAGAGGTGGATGGAGTGCTTGCTGGGAGGAGAGGCTGAGCAGGATGGCAAGAGAGGGAGACTGACTGGTGAACTGTTGACTAGATGCGGCTCCACCATCTTGTGAGCAGCTTTGGCAATGGAGAGAGACCTGGCAGAGCCGATTCATATAAGAGACAGAAAAGGTGTGATTTCTATTTTTTCCCCACACACTCCTCTGGTGCCCAGTAGTGTGGCCAGCTCCCACACTCATCCACCTCCAGCACAGACCCCGATCTTGGGGATTTCGGAACTGCGTGTTTGGGAGCCACACCAGCATGAGATGGGGGCCAGCTGTGTCGCTTCAGAGTACTGCTTTGGTGCCTGGATTCAGGTGGGCTCAGCTCCAGACCTACAAAACCTGCAGAGCCACTAGACCAGCATGTAAGCAATCATGCTGCCCCCAACTTCTCTCTGTTCCTAACAGACACTGAAGCCAGTTCCATCAAGGGCCCCCCACTATTTCCAGATTGAGTGCCCTGAACATAGATAACACAGAGGCATAGAGGAACTCCATCTAGATCCAGGAACTCTACAGTCACATCCCTTGTACAACCACCTTGTGATCTCCTTGAATTGCAGGAGCCCCCCCCCCCAACCACAGAGATTTCTCCAACAGCTGTACTATTTGTTTTTACAAATACAACAGCCCAACAAATGCCCTGGAGACAACAAACAATGTTAGCTCACATGAAGAAACAAGAGAATGACTCAAACAAATAACCAAGATGCAGAGCCAAAAATGAATCTGAGGAAGAAAAGGAAATGGAACTAACTGAAAAGAATTTGAAAATAATAATAATAATAATAATAATTAGGTACTTTCAAAGACTCCATAGAAAAATCAAGGAAAGCAAGGAGAACACAATAAACAATTTAGAAGAAGCCAGGAAAACACTACAAGAACAAACAGACAAAATAAATGTAAATTTTGAAACAACACAAAACTTACCATTAGAAATCCAGAAGATTAATACTAAGATCTCAGAAATGGACAACACATCAAAAGGGCAAAGGAGTAGACTCAAAGCAATGGAAACCCAAATTAGTGAGCTTGAAGATAAATCTCTCAATACTAGTGTGCTAGAAGAACAATCACAAAAAAGAATGAAAAAAATCCAAAGAAGGCCTAAGAGTTATGTGGGATATCGTGAAGAGGAACAACTAACAGGTGATCAGAATTCCAGAATAGTAAGAGACAAGCACAGAGAAAATTGTTGAAGAGTTGTTGGGAGAAAACATCCCTAACATCATGAATGACAAGAAGATAAGCATACAAGAAGCTGAACAAACCCCAAACAGGATAGATCTCAAAAGAAAATCACCAAGACATACCATAATCAAACTTTCCAAAATCAAAGACAAGGAAAAATTCCTGAAAGCAGCTCAAGAAAAAGGAAAAGTTACCTACAAAGGAGAACCAATAAGACTAAGCTCTGATTTCTCTACAGAATCCATGCAGGTAAGGAGTAACACATACAAAACAATGAAAAAAAACGATTGTCAGCCAAGAATCATATACTCAGCAAAGCTGTTCCTCAAATATGAAGGTGAAATTAGGACATTTCCTGATAAACATAAATTAAAGAAATTTTTAATGACCAGAGCAACTTTACAAAAAATGCTAAAGGGTATTCTTTGGACTGAGAAACAGCAACAGCAGATAACAACCTGAGATTACCATATATGACAACATCACCTAAAACTCAACCAGGTATAGAAGTATTTCAAAGTAAAACAAACATACAAGACTGAAAACAGAGAACCAGAGATATCAATGTATAATGAAGCCAAATACAAAGTATAAAAGAGGGAATAGTACAGATACACACCACTCGTCTGTCAGTTTGT